CCCCTCAAAAATATTTAAAATTTGTTGCAAAGCAGCCAAAATGGAAACAAGGCATAATGCTCCAATGCCCATGAGAGGGAAAATAGGGGATGAAATTGACTCCTATTTTTTCCACAGTTGCCCACTCCTAAGCTGAAAGATAGATTTATAATTTATAATATAGGTAAGTTTGACTAACACATTTATAACATGAATTAAAATCTTTCATAGATTATATGTATTATTCACCATGAAATAAATCTGTTAGTCTTTAAAGAGGCCACAGGACTTTGTTGTTTTTCTGCAAGACTGACATGTTCACCACCTTGGAAATGGACATTGATAAATACTAATCACATAATTACAGCTTGGCAGTTTCAAAATGGATGGTGGCCCTCAAGCTGTGAAATGTGCTTGGTACAGGATTAACTGAACAATAGAAACAAACTTGCTCTTCAATGATGCTAAAGATGCTGTGGAAAGAAATTGCTGAACAAAGACAACTTCCTAGTTTCTTTGATGCTCGTGGGTGATTTAAACAGTGATGATTAATTCCCTAGTCCTCTCAAGCAAGCTAAATAGATTTCCAGCACAGAATCGATGTATGGTTGTTGTGGTTGTTGTTGTTTGCTCTTTAGAGGGTGCATTTCATGTATATTTTCTTATACAACTCAAACAAATACACATACACACAACCACCACCACCAGGAATTCTGAATTCCCCATGTCCCAATTCTTTCTGTATTTTTTTTAAAAAACATTTTCACTAAAACTTCTTCCTGCCTTTTAGAGCAATTTCCCAAAGTTTATTTATTTATTTATTTATGGGATTTATATCCCACTTTTCTTTCAAAATGGGATTCAAGGCGGCTGATGTGAGAGACCAGCATGTTTCCTCCAGTGTGCCAAGGACTGGTATAATTTTTGTGTCTATTGATTCACCCTTCCTGGAAACTCAGAAGCCACCTGCACCTGATGGCTTGTGGAAATGACCACTTTGGGTAGCACTGTGGCTGAGAGGTAATTTTGCCATATTTTGGTCCATCCAACCTATTTTTAGGACAGCAAAACTTTTTTTTTTCTATTTAGGGAAAGGCCTCATTGGCCTAAAACATCTTTTCCCAGTACAATTGTAGTGAAACTGCACCCACTCAAAGCCCCTACAAGAAGTTTTTTGTTTGTTTGTTTGTTTGTTTGAGGGGAAAAGAGAAAAGTTACAAATAATTGGGGAGCATTGCAAGGTGTCAGAAGTTGGAGCCTTATTTTGCACACTCTTACTTTACAAGAGCACAATAGGAGAGATACTATTCTGGATGAATGAATCTAAAATCTGACATGAAAAACCAAGCGAAAGCGAAAGGAAGCAAAAGGAAATGTACGTAGAGATAATTATTTCAATTTACATTTACTTAGGCTTGCTTACAGGTCTGGCTACAGTCCTAGGCATACTCACCTGGGAATAAGGGCTGTTGAATTAATTAGGTCTTATTTCAAAGGACTGTTGAACTAATTAGGTCCTTGAATCCACAATTGGTTCAAAACTGTTTTATATTCAAACATGTTCCATTTTTTAAAAATCTGAGAATACATATCCATGAATTCACAAACCATTAAAGTGTCTCCCAGAATATCTCAGTCCTTTTCTGATGTACATAATTATATCTGTGTTGATAGATATAGCCACAATATCATTCTGAACCTGCCTTGATTATCATAGCTGGTTTTGAAAACTAAACAGGGCCATACCTAGTCAGTCTTCTAGTCACTTGAATGGCAGACCATCAGGGAATCCCATGACTCTTCAAGCATTGCTAAAAAAGAAGCCTGCCTGAAAACCTGGAGATCTGCTCCCATTCAATGTTGTTGTCAATACTGGACTATATGGAAGAATAGTCTCACTCAATATTTGGCA